GCCCCCGGAGTGCCCACAGCTTTCCTGAGGACCCTGAAGCCCTCCTAGAGATCCCAACCCTCATGGAGACACCAGTCCTCTTTGGGGAACTCGCGGCCCTCCCAGCTGCCTACAGTCCTCCCAGGGGAACCCAGCCCTCTTTGGGGACCACAGCTCTCCTGGCAACTCAACCCTCCCTTGGACCCCAGAGCCCTCCTGGGGACTGAGCCATCCTGGGAACCCAAGCCCTCCTTGGGACCCCAGAGTCCTCCCAGAGACCCTAGCTCCTTGGGGACCCCAGTCTTCTTGGAGACCCTAGCTCTCCCAAAGACCGCAGTCCTCCTGGAGACCTCGCATCCCTCCCAGGGACATCACCCCTCCTGGAGACACCAGCCCTCTTTGAGGACCCCACAGCCCTCCTAGGGACCCCACAGCCCTGCCAGGGAGGGCTGGCACTGGAGATACTCATGGCCCCACCACCACGGCTGCCACCTTCATCTTGGATTTCCACCTGCAGGAGAAAGCTGTCCATAAGTGGGGGGCTTGGCTGTCCCCACTGCTGTCCCCACCACTGTCCCCACTGCCCATGGGCCAGCCGCAGGGGGAATCAGGTCAGGATGCAAACACAGGGCTGGCTGTGGGTGCAGGAGCTGTCCCACCATGTCCGTGATGCCCAGCTCCGTGCTCATCAGTTTTATGTAGAAGTCCACCAAGCCCAGGAGGTAGAGGGTGAAGTGGATGCAGTTATTTTTGCCAGGGTAATAGTTGGCTTTTTGCTGTTCACTGCCTCCCTGACTTTACTATTGAAGTCACTGAAACTGATGTGCCTTTTCTTTTGGTACATCTGGCATTTCCCCCTCTCCTTTTTCATGGCTTTGAAGCCTTCCTTGCTGATCTGACCTCTGGTCCTCTGATTTTTCTTGTCTGGAAAACTGAGAGCCACTCATCACCCCAGGCCAGCCATCACATTGCCGGACACCTTTCGACCACCACCACATTCCAAACAGGAGTAGGGGGTCAGGCACTTTCTCTGGAAGTGTGTGACCTCTCCATCCCCGCAGTAGACGGCCACATGTTTGACGCTGCTGCTGAGGACGCCAGAGCTGATGTCTAAGGGGAAGCGCAAGATGTGGCTAGGCTGCAACTTGCTCTCTGATACCTCCTCAAAGACCTCCCCATGCCCAGGGATGCTCTTGAACAGCAGAAACTTGGGTGCCTCATATTCCCTCTGCCAACTCTGCCAGGGAGGGAAGGTGAGGAGGTGGCAGAACCAGCCTAGTTGCCCCCCCAATGCCCCACGAGTCCCCCACACTGCAGGCAGAGGTTTCACCAAGCCCCTACTTACAAAGCTGCTCAACATCTGCAAGGAAAGAGGAACAGAAATGGGGTGTCAGTGCCAAGCTCGTGTCATCCTGCCCATGCACGGAGGGCAGGGTCCCACCCTGCCATCACACCCTGCCCGTGGTGGCTCCTGCCAGGCGCAAGGTCTCGATTTGGGCAAAAGTCACCCATCCTGCACAACTTCTTTGAGCTGGAGATGTCCTGGGACAGGCCTCGTTCATCATCCCTCTCCCTGTCCCGGTGTGACGGTGGTGCGGGCAGCTGCCTGCGATGGGATGCGGCGATGGGAGCATCCTGACCAGGCTGCTGCTGCTACTTAGCATTGTTTTCTCTGGGATGGAGCTGGTGGCAGAGCCGGGCTGATGGCCCTGCCATCAAGGGCTATGGGAAACACAGCAGGGGTGGGTGGGTCGGCAGGCGCCGGGGACCAAACCTCACCTCACATCCCTCCTGAAGCACATGAGAGACGGAGAAAGGCTGAAAGCAAAACCCCAAAGCAGGACAAACTCCAGGAAACCCTGAATGGATTTTTCCAGTTCCTAAAGCTGGATTAATTAATTAGGTGATTTGCTAATTCCACCGTAAATGTTGAGTTTGGGAATGGAGGGAGGTGAGGTGGGAGGTCCTGGAAATGCTCTTGAGAGGAGCTGCAGGACGTCTCCAAAAGTGCGTGTCATTCAGCGACCTCCCACCTGCCTCCAAGAGACCTTCCTCCAGCCCCAGCCTGATCAGGCACCCAGCTTCTCAATTTTGCTCCCTTCCCCTTAGAAGCCATGGGGACATTTCCCCCTCGCTGGGGAATCAAACTTCACCTCTGGTGGGCAAAGGCTCCCAGAAACTCTCCCGTGGGTGTGGGAACTGCAAGGGTCCCCGTAAGAAAGCCCAGAGAGAGACTTCAAGCAGCTTGACAGAACGGTTGAGGTTGGAGGCACCTCTGGAGGTCACCTGATCTAACCTCAACCTAGAGCTCCCTGCCCAGGACCATGTCCAGATGACTTTTGAATACCTCCAAAGAGGAAGGCTCCAGAACATCCCTGGGTGACTTGTGCCAGGTGTCCGTCACCCTCACAGTGAAAAAAGTATTTCCTGATGTTCAGAGGGAACCTCCTGTGTTTCTGTTCATGCCCATTGGCTCTGGCCCTGCACTGGGCACCACCGAGAAGAGCCTGGCTCCATCTTCTTTAGTCCCACCACCAGGTGTTGATACACACTGTTAAGATCCCCCCCAAGCCTTTTCTTGCCCAGGTTGAACAACCCCAGCTTTCCCAGCTTCTCTTCATACCAGAGATGCTCCAGATCCTTGGTGGCCTTTTGTTGATCTCTCTCCAGTATGTCCATGTCTCTCTTGTACTGAGGAGCCCAGCACAGAACCCAGCGCTCCAAGCATGGCCTCACCAGTGCTAAGCAGCAGGCAAAGATCATCATCTTTGACCTGCTGGCAGCCTTCCTCCTAATGCAGCCCAGGACGCTGTTGGCCTTCACTGTGCCCCAAGGGCAAACTGTTGGCTCATGGTCAACTTGGTGTCCCACAGGACCCCCAGGACCTTTTCTGCCAAGCTGCTTTCCAACTGGTCACCCCGCAGCATGTCCTGGTGCCTGGGCTTGCTCATCTCCAGGGGCAGAACTTTGCACCTTCCCCATTTCTCCGGCCTGTCCAGGTCCCTCTGGGTGCCAGCGCAACCCTCTGATGCATCAGCCACCCCTCCCCGTGTGATGTCAACAGCAAACTCGCTGAGGCTATGCTCTGCCCTGTCAACCGGACCAGTAATGAAGTTATTGACCAGGACTAGATCCAGTATTGACCCCTGGGATGCAGCACCAGTGACTGACCTCCAACCAGACTTGGTCCAGCTGTTTGGCCAGTTTTCAACCCAGCGGCCCAGGGAATATTTGTTTTGATGCTCAAAAATCAAATGCCAGCAACCAAAGAGGCATCTGTTTGTCTCAGGAGGCCATGGGGAGTGAAGAGCAGACGCTCCCTTCTGGATGTGCCGAGGTGGGACATTGCTCGCTGGCAGCTTCTGGGAAAAGGAAAGCAAAAGCAAAAAAACCCCACACATCAACGAGGGATGGCACAGAGCCTCCGTGCAACCATTTATTGCCACACAAGAGGGATGCCAAAGCCACTGGTGCAATGCTGGTCCCCCAGGGAGGCACGGTCCAGCCCCATGCATCTCCCAGGTACATCGCGACCTCCATCACTGCAGTGCTGGGGACACCTGGGAGAGAAGATGGGCTGTGGTGACGCTGGGCTGGAGCGGGTGTCAGGGTCCCCTGGTCTGGTGGCACCCGCTATGGTGGTGGTACCCACCATGGCACCGGTGAGCTGGCCCAGCCCCAGCAGAGAGAGGGCGAAGTGGACGCAGTTGCAGGTGATGGCGTCGTACTCCACCGCCTGGTCCATGGCTGCCCGGATCCGCCGCTGCAGAGCAGCTGCATCCAGCCCTCCCTTCCTCCGCAGCACCTTGGCAGGACCCCGCGTCCGCAGGAGGTGGCTTTTGCCATGCTTGGCCACAATCCCCGATGGGGACGTCCCTGAGCTGCCTGCGGGGTGGAGGGAACGCTGTACCCTGTGTCCTTTCCATGGGCGTGTCCCCGTGCCATGACCACCTCCTGGGGCTCACCTTCCAGGTGGATGATCTCCCCATCACCGCAGTAGACACCGGCGTGGGCGCCCCACCAGCCAGGGCCCCCTGAGGCCAGTGGGAAGAGGAAGAGGTCCCCAGGTTGGGGCTTGGCCACCCCATCAGGGACCACATCAAAGTGCTGACCCAGCAGCCCCTCGCAGAGGAAGAACGCCGCCGTGCTCGCCGCCCC